CTGTAGGTTTTTTTAATTAAAAAAGTATGCATTTTTCATAATGTTTAGTGAAATTATTTGGTAGTCTGAGGTGGGATGGGGATTCGGGAAAGGGGGGCAGATTTTTTTTATAGGTTTAAAGGGGGGCGCGACCAAAAAAGTTTGAGAACCACTGGTCTAAAGTTAACAGACAGTGTTTAAAAAGTGCAGTGCACATGTTTACATATGTTTATTACAGTAACGTTGAATTACCCAAAGTAGTGTGGTAAAGCAACAGATTTGTTTTTATATTTCTGCAATCTACTTTAGTTTGTGTGATTTGTTACTGACTTTCATATTAATGTTTACACCGAGCTTATTTAAACGAGAAACTATTTAATTATTACATGCTTACAAGGTTGGAAGTTCAACAAATCAGTCAATGTACTGTGATTGTAGTTGTTAAATAAAAATGTCATTCATATCAATTCATGCATCACCTAATTTCATCGTAACATATAGGCCTGGCCTACAGAAAAGAACATTTATGTTTAATCTATCTAATAGTGTGTTGGGCATACTATACAATGATTTATAGCTTGTCTTTGTTGAATAATACAGAACATAAAGAGCTTTAAAAAAATAATTGCATATTAAATCGCAATCGCAATATTGGTAAAAAAAAACGCAATTAGATTATTTTCCAAAATCGTTCAGCCCTACTTAGAGCAAACATTATCACTTTTTCCCTGTGACCACTTTGATTACAGTTTGAGCTTTCCAAAGTTGACACATTTTTTAGCCAAAATGATGATCCTTTATGTGGCATAGCTTTCAAGGGGTTTTAAAAATAATGTGTGGGTCTCAGAGAAGGGAGGATAAAATGAGTGAAAATGGAGAAAAACAGCACATTATCTGTCATTTGAGATAAAGGCAGTATCTCATTGCATATATTAAGGAGGATAATACTCTTGGATGAATATGATTACTCTTTACTCTAATAATTGCATAGAGATTCACAGCTGTAGGAGAGAAATTTCAAGGTAAATTGCAAAAGAAGAGATTACTACAAATCATGCCAATTTATAGAAGCACTGAAATAAGCCAAAGAGAAGTGATTTTCCTTAATTTGACCAAGCAAACACTTCTCAAATTTCTAGACAAATGCTCAACTATTTCATCCATTTCTGCAGTGATGTGGGATTGAAGACAAACAGAGAGAAGAGATTTGCTCATACTAAAATCAAATTGTACGCTGAGATAATCTCCAAACACTGAAAAATACAGACAAAAACTGTCAAATGTATAACATTTTCTGCACTACAAATATAGAAACTTAAAGAGCTCAATCCAAAGGCTAGTACCACTTTGAATACCAAAATATAACTTTTAAATATGCTAAAGTATGGTATCATTACATGTTAAATCATGAAATCAAAATGCTCTTTTTTATCCAGATTTTTGGAATACTTTTTACAAGAAAATGCTATTTCAGTTTCCCTACTTCAAAATGTAATGTTTAATTTAATGTGTTAATGGCTGTTTATTTACAATTGTTTGGGAAATTGACTAGCAATTTATGAGCAAAAATTGTGCTTCCTGCTTAATTAAAATTACATTTGGTTGCAAAAGTTATATGGGTACCGCAATAAACGAATGGTTCTCTAAAAGTTTTTTTTTGGCTAGTGGGTCAGCAGAAGTGTTGACCCTCTTTCACACCTGTAACCTGTTCCAATTATGTTCAAAGGCAAATGCAGCTTCTTATAGTACCACGGTATTTGAGCACACAGATACAGAAAGCAGATGAAGAGAGGATGAAAAGACAGTACTTGAAAAGGCCCATCAAAGTAGCAGCGTACTGTACACCATCTGTGCATCTGCACCCTGGTGAGGTGCACCATGGGAGGTCTAAGGTAAGTGTGAAGAACAAAAATGGCTTTCATCAGTGCAACATACACATCATTTTGTCCAAAAATGTTCTCCAATTGATTTGAGCAAATCTGTTCACATCCATCACTGTCAATTAGCACACAATGAAGGACATCACACAGGAGAGCTGCGGCACTTTTTTGTATTTCAATCTGCCTCTTATTAACTAACTACCCACAGTCCAGTTTAACCACGTAATGACTGCTCTGAGACAGCAATTTGCATATTCATGGAACAGTAAGTAATTTTTCATTGAGCACAAACACACCTCTTTTAAATGTAAATTAAGATCATTACCATAAAATGATGTCAAGAAAATGTATCTTTTTATACTTGCATGGTCAATGCAACCTGAATCTCAAACAAATTACTCTTATGAACCAGTTATTTTTAGAGAATCAAAAACTTACAGCACAACCAGTGTAGTCTGATTCTCAAACAAATGACTCATATGAACCAGTTCTTTTTGTGAATCAAAAATATTTAAAGGGGTCATATGACGTTGCTAAAAAGAACATTATTTTGTGTATTTGGTGTAATGCAATGTGTTTATGCGGTGTAAGGTTAAAAAAACACATTATTTTCCACATACTGTACATTATTGTTGCTCCTCTATGCACCGCCTTTCTGAAACGCGTCGATTTTTACAAAGCTCATCGTTCTGAAAAGCGAGGTGTACGCTGATTGGCCAGCTATCCAGTGCATTGTGATTGGCCGAATACCTCAAGCGTGTGACGGGAATGTTACGCCCCTTACCATACTGTGATCCCATGCACCGGCGCGACAAGACAAAACCAATAAAACCCATTACAAACTAGGCATTTGTTGCATCCATTGGGGACATAATTACTGATTATAATGACTTATACTGTGTTAGTACGTGTTGCGTTGCGTATCGCGCTGCATAAACATAAAACCATGTCTGCATTTGTGATCGGAGAAACGACAAATAACAAGCGCTACTCTACACTGGTCAAAACTCACATTTGAATCATCAGTGGCAAATTCTTTAAATGTGAAAATGTACTTACAGGCTGTGAGTCAGAAGCGTCAGACTGTCCTTGCAAAGTTGGAATTGCCCTATTTTATAGAAACAGCCTTTGCGCACAGATGGCCTTGTACTCTCCCAGGTTCAGGAAACAGTCCTCCGTAAAATGCGATGCACACACTTGAATATTTGGGTTGAACTGTTCTGGAACAGTGTTGTAAATACAACTTAACCCCTGATTTCTAGTTGTGTCCTCTTTTGGAAGGCCAAACAATGTAGTTTTGCTTTCACAATGAAACACACAGCATCTCCACGACATGGCGGTGGCGGTGACAATACTACAGCGAGGATCAAAGTTACTCCTTCTTTCTTTGCGTGAACATTTGGGCGGTGATATGCAAATCTTCCCACACAGTGACGTAGACATGTGGGGGCATGCTTAAACGAGGTGTTTTAGGAGGGCGTGGACGAGTTAGAACTTTTATAAAGAATATCTCTTTGGGTTTGAGACTTTAGTCTTTGCAACTTTAGGGATCTTATCTACGCAGGAACAGCTTGTAAAACTCTGAAGAGAAAGGAAAACTTGAAATAGCATCATATGACCCCTTTAACACAACCAGTGTAGTCTGATTCACATACACAATTGACCCTTTTGAGCATGTCCTTTATCTCAAGACCAATCAGACCAATCAAGACTCAAACTCAGGAGTTACATTTCAGTCTGCTGAAGGCTTCACTGAACTCACTTAATCTGTCAGAGCAGTTACTGAATCAATATCAAGTTTCTACCAGTGATGAAATATAATACAAGTCAAGTCGCCTTCATTTTTTGAATTTTTTTATACAATAGAGATTTTCAAAACAGCTTCACAATATTGAACAGGATCAAAAATCGATAATGCAAACTTTAAAAATTAGGCAAATCCAAAATTCTACTATAAAGCAGCTGGAGCAAGACAATAGTGTCATTATTCAGCATCAGTCAGTTTAATGTTGGTTCAGTTCAGTAACTGTGTAAAGTTCATTCATTTTGAAAGAACTTCAAATGAGCAATAAGCAAAAGACAATAGAATCATTAATCAGCTTGAGTCAATTCATTGTTGATTCATTTTAGTTGCAACAATGACCATGTCGCAAAATTAATTAATTATGAACGGATTAAATTCAGGCGACAATCATGTCATTATTCAGATCTGTTCAGTTCAGCTTGTTCTTAACAAAACTTGAACTCAATATACCCAAATTAATCATAATTGAATCAAACAAAATCAGAATCAAATCAAATAAAATCGTCAGCTTGTGAACAAGAATCCTCACAACTAAGCACACTAAGCAACTAGCAACATACCTGAAAAATTGGGAACTGCAAAACGCAAATTGTATTAAGCATGAATTTTATGGACACATTTGTGCTGTTACTTTTTTGCCGTAATTCCTTTAGTGAATCAGCACCAAAACAGCAAAAACTGTGCCAGTAAATGTTGCACTAAGCAAGCACAATTCATTTTTAGCAAACTGTCCACCTCAAGTTAATCTAAGCTAAACCAAAACAAAGCAGACTTGAATTTCATGATTAAACTCAAGTGCTGTTTTGAATTCTGACCATATTCTTTCAAAAGACTCTCCCTCATTTTAGTTTAATGAAATGAGTATAAAAAAAGAAAGCAACAATATAGACCTACCATTTGGACTCTCCTCATCTATGGCTACAATGGTTGCAGGCGGGCCTGTTCTGGAGAGCTTGCACTCTGAAAAGCAAGGACACAGAATGTATGGAAAAAAGGAACAGGAAAAAAAAGAGACATCAGAATTTCATCAAGTCTAGACTGCAACGTAACTCATACTAAACAAGACATTTCAATTTCAGCTCACATTAAGTCACACAACCTGCACATAAAAAAAGGATCTACGAGTACTGTAACCTATCCACTGCTGGCACCGAGGGGCCACAAGTCAAAGATAGATTTACAAAATGACTTCTTTATGTGTACAGAGAGAGCTGTTACCACTGGGGTTGCCAAGGGTTAATAGAGTTGTGCTCTCGTGCCCGATGAGAGAACAAAAGAAAAACAGAAAGATTAGATACATCGTCTTACCCTCATACTGCCAGTCTGGAGTCATAGATAGTGTCATCGCAGAGAGCAGGAGAACGATGGAGTGACAGAGAGGTGGGGAGAGACAGAAGAAAATAGAAGCACAAAATCAAATTTTCCTCCGATGCTTGTGAGATAAGACAGAGGAAATAACCAAACAGAAAGAGACATATACATGGAAAAATTCAGAAGACAAGCAGTGTTACTAGCAAGTGGTGTTGACTCGAGTACATTTATTTTCTGGTGGTCCTCAATATGACCGTGAATTTGCAAAAGTAGGAAATGTTGCTGGAAGAACATTCCTGTCAAACAAATATAGTTATACGTAAGTCTACCTTTAACCATTAACTACCATTAAAATCAAATGGAAATTATGAAGTAATAAAAAACCCTAACTTAACACTGAAAATTGGCTGGTTGAAAGAAATGATGTTGAAAATGAACACCAATGAGGACATTGCTTCAGGCAAAATCAAAGCAAGCAGACCACAAGCGGTTTTGGATAACATTCCTGTCAAACATATACAAACCTAAACTCACTCCTAAAAATGAACAACCCCTAAAATCAACATAGGCTCTTTGGAAAAACATTCCTCTACCTACATTTTTGCAAAAACTTGCAAATGCATATAATTCACTGCAGTTTCCAGTTGAAATTAACACTAGTGTCAGTAAAACACCAACAACTTGTTTTCCACTTCACACAAATTATGATTATGGTGCATAATATCAATTAATCAATACTTTTTTCAAACATTTCAATCCCGATCCTCACTGGTTCTACATTATTTAATTACAATACCAACTAAAATGTTGATCCAAGAATGTCCTACTTGGCAAAATCATGGTTACAAAGTACAGTAGCTGGAAATCAAAGTGTCCGTGATTTTGCCAATTAGGACAAAATGTACCTAGATCTGTATCTTTTTTTTGTCCTGGTACAGCACTCCTGTCAATTAAAAATATCTTTAAACCGTACATGTCTTCACTAAACCTAAAAGTCTAAAAATGTGATGGATATTATGATAATTTTGGAATCCCAACCCCAGCCCTAAACTCTGGTTGACAAGAGCCCCAACAATACAATGTAAAAAAAAAAAATGTACAGTAAAAAAACGGCAGCTGTGGTTGCCGGAATTTTACCATAAAAAATATGGTAGCAACATTTTAGGTTTTACGGATTTAACTTAAATTTACAGTTAAATACCGTAATTTCATTAACTGATATAATGTTAATATACCAACCTACTGAAATACTGAAATCTGTTTTGTACCTTTGTAATACACTGATAACCACCAAATGCAGGTGGTGATGAGAAAGTCACATGATGAACCAAAGCCCATCACAAGCAGCTTTTAAATAATAATATATATAGAAGGTGCCCAGTGTCATCCACACAAACACTAAACACCATCACGGTAACACACATGAAACTTAAATAATGCAATAAACATTAATTTAACAACATTAGGTGTAACATACAACCCTAATATACAAACCTGATAAGAAAAAAACTAAGAAGAAACATAGTTATTAAAAAAAAAAAAACATCAAATTTGAAATGTAACGCAGGGAATTCTGGGAATGTCAGTTTACAGTTATTCACTGTAAATTATATGGTCTTTTTCACTTCCAAAAGCGGTATACTACTGTAAAATTACATGTAATGTCCAATACAGTTTTTCACCGTATATAGTAAGGCCATTTACCGTAAACCATTTAACAGGTTTCTACTGTAGCATTTTTACAGTCTTTTACCATTAAATTCATGGTCATTTTTTGCAGTGTACCCTTAACTATTTCAGTCTACAAGCACAGGGAAAATAGCAATGTTCTTCAAACCCTGATGAAAATCAGCTGGATGAAAATATACTCCAATCAACTGACAGATTGATGAGAATTATTCACACCCCAACCCCCAATTGGTTAAGGTCATTTTGTTTCAGGACCGACAAGGATAATGATTGTAAACAAGTCCCATTTGTTAAAACCAATGTAAGTAGATCGCAAAACAGTTTGAGTCTGATGCAATTTCTACATCAGCAGAACAACAAAGACATGATTGACACAGAGCCATGGTTTTCGCATTAGCAAATGTTCTACAGACATGTTGCATCTTGATATTACATGAAAAACCATACTTTGACATTTCACTGTCAAAAGAAGGTGCAAAAAAAACTCTATAAAACAAGAAAAAACTGACTGCTTTTAAACAGAGAAAGCAACCAGATTTTTAGAAGGTATCTACCATATTCAAAACTTCTAATCGTCTGAGTTTCCCTTTGCACCCAATGTTAAAACGTAATCGAACTCATTTTGCTTTTAGCTTCAATGTTGACCTGCATTTTGCTTATATCCTGTGTGCTGTATTTTACCCCAGCATTGCAGGAACTGACTATCCGCTCTCTTGATTTACAGTGGCAAGCAATGAGACAGTGCTACGCTGCAGTCCTTGAGTGACTGATTTGATTAACATGCTCCTTCACGGTAGGCAAGACGAGATCTACGACTGCCAGTGGTTGCTGTTGTTAGCAGGAGGAATCCGGTCTCAACCCGCTGGCTTTTCTCCTCCCTGTGCACCTTTATCCAAAAATTAATGGCAAGTTATGAGAAGACGACAGCAGAATATAAATCACACAAAATCGACACCATGAATTCTGCAACACAGATCAGTGAATGAATCATTGGATCATTATGAACAAAATGGGCTTTCTTTGAGGGCGCTATACAAAGCGAGGGTAATTAATTGTCCCGTTACGCAAAGGTTAATAGTCTGAAGTGCAAATTAAGGTCAAGACTACAGTAAAAGTTCTCAGGATTGGTTTTCTATGTTATGACGACGGCCGTTTGCATCTGTGCTTGCGTCTCCAAGGCCTGTCTCTGGCCTGCCGCTCATGAATTAGAGATTGATATCATTTGTGTGGCTTTACGTAACATCAGAAGAGCTGACACATTAAACCGAGGCAAGTCGGGCTCTCTTAGCAACTGGGCTTATGATGGTGAGCAGGGTTTCAAAGGAAAGACCAAATATCTGGTGTCGCCATTAAAGATTCATGGCTGTGGGGCCCCTTTTATACTAAGCAAAGGAAAACCATGACTCAGGCAGAGACGGAGTTATTACCATTGATGAACTTGGAACAAATGGTTTTCCAAATAGCACCCTAGACCACAAAAAAAGGGTTATAAGCTTTTATTTTCTTAGTTTCTTTTAAACTAGAGGTGGCCTAAATTTCTTTCAGCTTCAGCAGAGGTGAGAACTCTACCACAGCATAGAGATTCTGTAGTCTCTGAAGTTAGAAAACAATTATGACTTTCTTAAAGGCATAGTTCTCCCAGAAGTTAAAATTGTGATCATTTACTCAACAAAATACGAGTTTGGAACTATAAAAATCTATATAGAAAACTTAAATACTTACATTTATTACTATAAAATTACTAATACTTAAACTAAAATTAAATGGAAAATAGAAAAAAAAATTAAATGCTAATAAAAAATAATACACTGATGATACTAAAATGACGAAAATCTATATAGAAAACTTAAATACTTACATTTATTACTATAAAATTACTAATACTTAAACTAAAATTAAAAGTAAAATGGAAAATAGAAAAAAAAATTAAATGCTAATAAAAAATAATACACTGATGATACTAAAATGACACTGGTCCATACAACTTGTGCACTATATTCCATGTTTCTGAAATAATCATTCCCATTATTTTAAGTCGTTGCTTTGTTTGAGTAACAAACCGAATTTTAGTCATCATTAAATTAATATTTTGTCATTTTTAGAGTTTAGTTCCCCCATTTCTACCTTCAGTGTAGAAATGAGAAAAACTAAATGAGAAATTAGAAAGAAAAAGAGAAGTGTGACCATTCTGTATAATATCTTCTTGTGTTCCACGCAAAACATAAGTCATGCTGGATTAATTTAAGGGTGATTATATGAAGGAAAAAATAAGTGTTCTTTAAAAGTGTGGTACCAGATTTCACAGCAAAATCAAGGGTGTAAAAGTGAGACTCTGGGGGTCAGTCTTACGAATGCATTAGATAAGATAACACACCTCTGAATGCTTGGAGAGGAGCCAATGAGAGTAATCACAGAAGAAATCAATACTCAGCAACAAGCAAGCACACAGGAAGGAAACAGATCTCTGAAGAGCCACAAATCCAGAACGTGAACATTTAAAAAGTTTTGAAGGTTTATCGTAATTTTTCGGTATGTTGTTTGTTTATATTTGTGACACAAAGATTATCAACGTCTGAATTGTTCTCTAAAGATTGCCTGAATGCCTGGTGACGTAATATTTTCTTTAAATAATTAATTTCTTTTTTTTTTTTATTGTAGTTTTTGCTTGAATCAGTACAAACAGACACAGAATATACCTCAATATCTAAACTAAACACTATATTTGCAATTTCTCCCTTCTACTGTATAAAATGTAAAAAACAATTATTACATAAACACATGCACAAAGCCTAAGTTCATAATAGCTTCCATGAAGTATCTGAGACTACTCTGATCTGACGGTTTTGTAAAAATTACACAAGATGTGATTACAGAAGTTAACAACTCATTGCTGATTGAATCATCTCACTGATGATCATACATGTTACATGACACCCACTGGGTGGAATAGTTTTTAATGACGAGGATGGTTTTCTTTAAAGAAACATCTTAGAGAAGCTAACATGATACTGTAATTACTGTACATAGCTCAGACAGCATGCACTGCAACTGTTTGATTTGAACAAAAAATAGTGACAATTTCCGTGTGTGGGGGGGGGGGGGG